TTGGCACTTCTTGGGGATGGATGTCAAGCAGACCAGCCCCTTCCTCTGGCTACTGTTCTTTCCTGCTTGAGGTGGAGGGAAAACTGAGCCTTCCACACTCCCCAAACTGGAGCAGCTGCTTGCAAAATACTTCTAAAATGTGTGGGACTGTTGCCACTCCCTTTCTCCCAACCCCAAGGAAAACACAGATTTTCGCTTCAGGTGCCCCAGCCATGGCCAAAGGCCTTACCCACTGCCAGGCAGCAGGGACTCAGGAGGACACGCCTCTGAATTTGAACCCCCTGGTTTAGATGGGAGGCGAGGCTCTTGCCTCTCTCTCAGCAAGATTGGACGGGGGGGGAGGGGGGGTACTGATTTCAGGCAACATACTCCTCATCAAGTTTCTTTTCAATCTCCCTGGTGTGAGTTAAGATCCAAACCCCATGTAGCCCAGTCACCAACCAATGAAATACACGGCTCCAAAGTTCGCTGTGCGATGTTCTTTCCTACCAGCTGGAAAAATAGGTGTGCTTCTCCGGCTGCCCGGTGCTGGCGGTGGCGTTGGGGAACGCTGGCGAAGAGAGCGAGGAGAGGGCTCCAAGTACCTTCTCTGCCGCTTGGCCCTCGGCACCGCCTCGCGAAGTGTGTCCCCTCCCCCACCCCTCCTCCTTGAAGAGCTTGATTTCCCACCAGACTTGGTCGACGTGGCCCGGCGGCGGAAAGGGCTCAGACTCCCGGGGCAGGCACGGGAGAGCCATGGCCACCAATAGGTTTCGCTTACGCAGCGGCCAACCGGGTGCGGGTCTCTGGGACCCAAGGACCTGCAAGACCCTGCTGGCCGGTGGCCCCAGGTTGAGAGGACTTACTGAGCGGGGTCCCTCTGGTCCCCAGACCCAGAACGTTAGAGCCAGGCTGTGCCATGCCGGGGTGCTGGCACAGATTTCCGAGGACAGTCAATCTCCAGGACACTCAGGAGGATGATTTCTTTTTTCTTTTCTTTTCTTTTTTTTTTTTTTTACAAAAACTGACCGCTGACAGGATGAGGGAGTTTGTTTTAGTGCTGAATACCCCCGGAACAAAATCCTTTTGAAAGGAAAGCTAAGTCGTTTCACGCCACCAAAGTGCAGATTTGGTGAAGACTAATGGGACAAAGCGGTGCGGTGCGGTGCGTTAGCGCGGGTTCCCCGAGAGAGCGGAGGACTTGAGCACCTGAGGCAGGCGGCCTGGAAAGGTGGGGCGGGCCAGAGGAGGCCCCAAACCTAATGTCAACGCCGCACCAGCCCGCGACCTTCAACTCCCCCGCCCACTCCCAGCACTTTTACCGCCAATTTCGCAGAGATGCTGGAAAAAGTGGAGGAGAGGGGGAGAAAAAGTGAAGCGAAGAGAACTGAGGGGCAAGAGTGCATTAGGAAAGAGGAAAGGAGGAGAGGGACAGAGGGGGGATGGAGAGGGAGGGGACTCCCAGAGTGAAAGGAGGAGAAGGGGGCCAAGGAAGGCTTAGCCGAAGCGCTCTGGGCAGCGCGGAGTTCACTTTCCATGTCTGGAAGGCGGGTATTGTTTTTGGCGCCTAGGAAACCTTGGGAAGCTGCCGGGTACTTTCCTCCACCTCCCGTCGGTGTTTGGTAAATATTAACAAACCAGGGCGCGTTACTTTGTGGAGTGTGGATGGAGGGGCTGGCTTGGGCTCCGGGCGGTTTTCCTCTCCTAGAGCCCCCGCCCCCAAACCCCAGCCCCACAGTTCACGCACACACACACCTGCCTGACAACAGAAGGAATCAAAATCAATATTGTATTTGTCACCCCTCTGTCTCCTTTTTACTCCATCAGCAGCCCGGGTGCCACTGAAGCGAATTGTGGATTTATGGAGGGAAATTAGCATAAATTATTACGAAATCTGTAGCCGTGTGTGGTCCAGCTTGTGGGAAAAGAGGCTATTGCGAACTCTCCAAGCAGAAAGGTGGTCGGTGGTGGGCTCCGCAGAGGCGATGAACGGCTATTGCACGAAAGAGGTTTCCAGTTGGTTTGCACATGGGCATAATTGACTTATGTGTATTTTATACAGTTTTCCCAACAACTCCCTAAGCCTGCGGGTCGGATGTGCCCCCTCCCCAAAGCTTCTATTTGCTTTGGGTTCTGTACAATAGACTGATGCACTTTTCAAGATTTCTGGAAAGTGCTCCTTCCTTCCTCTCCTTCATAATACTAGCCTTAAAACTCTGTAAATAGCATGCAAATCCCTCTCTTCCCTTGGGCTTTGTAGATCTTCAGTAGGAAGATACAATTTTACAGCAAAGTACACTTTTTAAATGTGCATCTCACAACTAACTCCTCGCCCCACCCAAGGCAAAGTTGTGCTATTAGGTTCAATTTTCTTAATGAGCCCCGGGCACAGGCAAAGTGCCTCACCTCCCATCTTCACCCGAGCCAAACTTTGAAGATTCCTACTTGTATCCTCACATGTCCCAGACTTGGTGGTGACAACTTTCCCAGGGAGACGGACAGAGATTTATCCCAACTTGGATTTTTTTTTTCCACCCAAACGTTTCTACTCTTAGAATTTAACCTTCTGTTTACTCGGAGCAATGATTTCGACAGCCATACAAAGGCCCTTTGCAAGGCAACAAAATGCCAATTGTTAAAACAAGAAAACATTTCTCTCTCCCCATCTCTCACCCCCAACACGCGGGAGCGCGCGGGCGCACACACACGGGGTCGAAAAGAATCTTCCTGGCTATAGTAGGGGGAACAGAGATCTTTCACTCCTATCGTTGCATATCCCGAATCCAACCCTTCTCAAAACTCTGTTTCTATATGTATGTACATATTTTCTTAAAGGATCCTAAAAATCCTTGCGGGCTTCGATGCTCGTACCTCCCCTTCCCAGGTGGGCTCCTGCCTCGCCCACAGGAGCACCCTCTGTTTTTTTCCTCACAGGGCAGCTGCCTTCTAGAGCAGGAAAGCTGTGGACCAACGCCTTTCGGTCTGTGAAACACAAGCCCTCACTACTAGTCATCTGGGGCCCCTCAAGCTCCCGAGCTTCCCCAGCTCCTCCCATCTCAGGACCCTCCAGGCTAACCCGGCCACGCCATATAACCCCCAAACGCCGCACCTCCTTAGGAGCTGAAGCAGGCGCAGCTTCGTCGAGTACCGCTGCCTCCCCCCAAGCTCGGCAGAAGTTCCTCCCGGGTCCAACTGGTTTATCTGCAGGGGGTTTACCTGCCCTTCTCCAGCCGCGCCCCCAGAGACAGGTCAGCGTCCCTCCCCCCTCCCCTCCCCCTCCCCCCGCTCCACACCCACCTCCTCCTCCTGGTCATTTTTTCCGAGTTAAGAAGGTGACATTATTCTTTTCTTCAAGCACTTCTGTTAATATTGAAAAACGTGCGCTTGCATCTCAAGCGAGGCAACCCAGACGCGAGGGTCATTTCAATATTAATGAAATTGTTTAATCTCCTAAATTCATCGTGTTTAAGTTACGTTTTGGTGAGTTATTGACCACCTCAGAAACTGTGCTTAATGGGGGGGTGCGCGCGCACGCACACACGCGTTTAAAGATTTTTTTTATGCTAACCCCAAACAGCTCCACTAGTAATGCTCTAATATCACTAGAAGTATCAAAACTTCACACCCAGAAATCTACCACCACCACCACCACCGCCTCCTCCTGAAAAAAAAAAAAAAGTTCTCACACATTTCGAGACTGAAGGTGATTTAGTGTGAGCTGTTGCTATTGAGTTTTTAACAACGCGGCAGAAGGAATTTCTTCTAAAAACCATAAAGGTCGGAGAATGTGCAGAAACCAGCGGGAACGCCTAGCGTCTATACTTGTAGACTGAGTGCAAGCAGGCGGGGTTGATTCACTATTTCATAGCAATTAGATGATGATGACAACGATAATAATAATAATTATTATTATTCACTGAATCTCCAGAGACTAATCCAAACCAGGGAACAAGCCGCCCACACTAGGCAAGGTGACCCCAGGCACATCCCCATCCTCTTTTCTCTCCAAAAAAGTAAAACCGCTGGTTCTTTGCAAATCTAGAAGGTACTTCTGTTTTAGTGGGGCCGCAGGCAGCTTTTGCTGGGCCCTCTAAACTCTAAATAACTTCTTTCTATGCAAAAAAAAGGGGGAAGGGAGAGAAAGTTCCGGCTGTAAAATGCAAACTTCCAGGCCACGCCTAACTCCTAAATTTCAAACCACCTGGGGAGTGAGAGACCTCGAGCTTGATAAAGTGTGTCAACCAAACTCAGGCCCTGCCCAGGTCCACATGCCGTCTTCCCCAACAGCCCAGAGCCTCCATCCTGTGTCTTGGTTACCAAATTCCTGGAGGACTTTTAAAGTGAAGACCTTGCTTATTTGCCCAGATACACTACTTTATTTTTTTTTTAATTTGGCCAATACACTTAGATACAAAGTGGGCTCTTACAAGGGTCTGTCCGATTATATTTTTGTACTTTTAAACCCCATCACTTAAAGCTACACACCCACTGTGCCCCACTGGGCTAAGGCAGCAGCCTAGGAAGGTCAAATCAAACTTTGACCTGCCTCTTGGAGCAGTGGAGGAAGGGTGTATTTTCATTACAATAACCCATGCAACCAGCCCCGGGTAATGCCAAGAGCAGGAAAAGGGTCAGCTTCAGGGGAAAGCCGTGCCTGAAGTTAGCTAACAATACAAACCCGACACACTGCAGAGGAAACAAAATACCCCGGCCAAGCAATTTCCATGTCAAACATCGTCTGCGCAGCGGCTCGGTCTGTGAATGTGAGTGGTCGCCTGAATCCCTGCTCCGCGGCCGGCGCCTCCTCATACCTTCACACCGCGCACCCTGGCCCGCGCGTCCTGCTCCCGCCGGTGGCCGAAGCTCTTCCCCCTCGCCCAGTCTGGAGCTGGAAGTGATTCCTATTGGCCAAGGTGTCCATGTAAATAGGTGTGAAAGAAATCAGAGCTGGCCAGGCTCTCCCCTCTCGCTCAGTCCCCTCCCTCTGCATCCCCCGCTCCCCCTCCTCTTCCTCCTCCCCCAAGGCGATTGTCATATGATAGCTAAGAAGTGGCACATTAATGAAGCGCCGCTACAGGGGTCTTTTCTGCTCCTGTCACCGCTTAAAACTATCAGATGGTTCGAGGGAGGACATGGAGGCAGCCACCTAGCTCAGTGGAGCCGCGGAGCCCACAGCAGCGCCCTCCGGAACCCCGAGGCCGCCGCTGCCACTGTCCGCGCCGGGACTCCGCCGCCGAGCTCGGCCGCCCGCGGAGCTCACGGCCAGAAGCGCCACGGACCGGGCGGCGCGGGGCGCTGCGGGTCTGAGCTGCGGAGCTCAGGAACGAGTGGAGCCCAGCCGAGGCAGGACACTGCGCCCCGGCTGCGCGCCGGGAGGGACTCGGCGAGCAGCAGCGCCATCCCGGATGCGGACGCGCAACTTGGGGCAACTTTAAGGTGAGCCGCTCTCCGTTGCATCCCTACCCCCAGTTCCCGCTTCTGGTCCGGGCTTCCTTCCAGGCTACCATCGCGCCGCTCGCGGGCTTCCCCTCCCGCGCCCCCTGGCCGCCCCCAACTCGACACGCAAAGCTGCTGGCTAAAGAGCTCAGGCACTGGCTGATCCGGCGCCGAAGCCCCCTACTCGCCACCCCCGAAGTCTGTTCTCGGCCTGGCTGACCTCGCGGTGTCTGTGCATCCACGTCCTTCCCCCCATTATCTTCCCCCCTTCCCAGATCCGAGCAGGCCCGCGCGGACCCAGAGCTAGAAAGGGGCAAAGAAGAAGATGCCTCGGCCCGGCCGCAACACGTACAGCGACCAGAAGCCGCCCTACTCGTATATCTCGCTGACCGCCATGGCCATCCAGAGCTCGCCCGAAAAGATGCTGCCCTTGAGCGAGATCTACAAGTTCATCATGGACCGCTTCCCCTACTACCGGGAGAACACGCAGCGCTGGCAGAACAGCCTGCGCCACAACCTTTCCTTCAACGACTGCTTCATCAAGATACCGCGGCGGCCAGACCAGCCCGGCAAGGGCAGTTTCTGGGCGCTGCACCCCAGCTGCGGGGACATGTTCGAGAACGGCAGCTTCCTGAGGCGCCGCAAGCGCTTCAAGGTGCTCAAGTCGGACCACCTGGCGCCCAGCAAGCCCGCTGACGCGGCGCAGTACCTGCAGCAGCAGGCCAAGCTGCGCCTCAGCGCGCTGGCGGCCTCGGGCACGCACCTGCCGCAGATGCCCGCCGCCGCCTACAACCTGGGCGGCGTGGCGCAGCCCTCGGGCTTCAAGCATCCCTTCGCCATCGAGAATATCATCGCGCGCGAGTACAAGATGCCTGGGGGACTGGCCTTCTCCGCCATGCAGCCCGTGCCCGCCGCCTACCCGCTCCCCAACCAGTTGACTACCATGGGCAGCTCGCTGGGTACTGGCTGGCCACACGTGTACGGTTCGGCAGGCATGATCGATTCGGCCACCCCCATCTCCATGGCTAGTGGCGATTACAGCGCCTACGGCGTGCCGTTGAAGCCACTGTGCCACGCAGCGGGCCAGACGCTGCCCGCCATCCCCGTGCCCATTAAGCCCACGCCGGCCGCAGTGCCCGCGCTGCCCGCACTGCCTGCGCCCATCCCCACCCTGCTCTCGAACTCGCCGCCCTCGCTCAGCCCCACGTCCTCTCAAACAGCCACCAGCCAAAGCAGCCCCGCCACTCCCAGCGAAACGCTCACCAGCCCGGCCTCCGCCCTGCACTCAGTGGCGGTGCACTGACCCGCAGAGGCCGGCGCCCCGTCTTGTCCCCCCCACCCCCCGCAGCTCACTCGCCTTCCCCGGCTCCCAGTCCTGCCCTCCCCATCTGGGACCGCCACCCTAACTTGTCCAGTTCACCTTCGGCCAACCCTCTCTCCCCCATGAGAACTCTGTTTTGGACCCAGGAGACGCAACACAAACTTGCAGATGGGCCTGGAGGCGCGTGGGAGTTGTCCTCGCCCCCAAGAGGGGTTAGGCAGGGGGCACCTGAGCCAAGTCGTCCCATTCCCGGGGCCCCCGAAATCCCCCTCCCACTGAAGAGGCAGGGGAAACCCTGCCTCCCGCAGTCTCGGAGAGGGGCGCGTCTAAGCTCGGCCCCGATCCGCGAGGCTCCGGACACGGCGCCGTTAGTTCCAAGCCCAGAGAAACCGCCTTGGAGGTTTCCCGGAACAGATCTTCCCTGAGGGCTGCAGACGCACCGCGGAGAGCCAGATCTCTGTTTACGTCTTGGAAATCTGCCGCGAAAAGGGACCGCTGGCTTCCTACCCTAGTCGCCTCCGCCCATCCGGCAGGGTCTGGGCGGACCACAGCCTCCCGGAGTAGCGGCCCTGCCTCCCCGGCTTCTGCGGAGTTTTCTGGTTTGGGGTTTTGTTTCCTGACAGAGGCTCCAGGCGCTGGGAGTGTAGGGGAGAGGCTACCAACCTGGGAAGGGGACGTTTGTCCTCTACACAAGCAAAATAAAACTAAAAGTCAACCTTGTATGTTTACAAAGCGCCCGGTAAAACGTAAACAGTGAACCTGAATCTGTAGTGCTTGGCGGGCGAGCGGGCAAAAGCCCACTTTACAAGTACCTGTTGTAATGTGAATGTTTACTCTGCATTTCTGGGCAGGTTTAGGGGGGGGGGAAGGGGGGGGGGTGGGAAAGTTAATTGGGATGTTAACTTTCCGATTACTTAGAGACCTTTTTAGCTATTTATTTTATTGCTGGAAGGAAAAAAAAAAAAGAAAGAAAATGAAATAAGTCCAAACTAAGAAAGCATCAAGGGCAACCCTAGAAGAACTTAGATAAGCTGACTAGTAACATGAAGGAGGTGTCACCGGATAGGTCTCCCATGGACAAGCCTTTCTGTTTGCTACAAGAACTTTTCCGAGAAGCTAAAGGGCTGCAAAGAGATGTAAATGCTTGTGAATAGGAATGATTATACACTGTGTAAAATGCACTTTTGTTTGCTATATTCCTTTAGAGTCTTAGGTAATTTGCTGGAAAATGAACTGTTGTTCTGGTGTGACCTGCTTAAGTTAAAAAAAAGTTGTAGTGTCATCAGAGCTGTACAATTTTTACCTTTCATTTTTCTCCCTCCCTGTACAGAATTAGCATGGAATTTTAAATATTGATGTTCTTGTTCCCAGCATGCCTGTTTTAAGACAAAGAATTTTAAAAAGGTGTCTACATTAAATTATGAACCTAGTCCAAATAATATTTTCTCATTAAAATATGTAAATGCAAATTTTAGTTTCGTGTGTTTTTGAAGAGTTGCTACAAACAGTAACTTTACCAAAGATAAATGCACTGCTTCTCTAAGCATGCTTTCTGCAATACATTGTCTGAGTAGTTTGTCTTTTTCATAACTTATTTTGAAAACAAACCTCCTCTTATGCACTTGCAGACTGGGAAGAAATTACGCAGATGGACTTTCGAAGATATTGGCCCAGAGAGAAAGATGAAACAAACTCTTTCTAGTATAGATCAGGTGCACAGGTGTGGTGCTAAAAGAAAAACTGTTAATGAAAAATGAGTAACTTTATATGTATTTTGACTATCTTTAAGTATACATTTTACAAAATATACAGCACTTGTATAAATGTAAGGCTTCTACAGAAACCAGGTAGAGGCGATATGGAGATATAAAGCGTAAAGGCAAACTTGCTTACCCAATACTTCTATTCTGATGCATCTTATTTGCAGTGGACCTTGATTTCCTTGCTCCTTTAAATTATTGCAATCGTTGAAATTTTCTTTTTCAGAAGTTACTTAAAAGGTCACCTAGCCTGTAGAGAAACTTGTTCACTTCTAACTGAACAGATTTCTCTTTACTCCTTCATCTGGGAAAATAATGTTTGGTGCGTTTATTTTAAAGAAGCGAAGGAAGTTACTTTAAATGCTTGACTCTGAGTGTTTGCTTTTCTTCAGATTTTTGCAGAGAATTAAAGTTTGCCAAGAATGTATGGCTCAAGGCCAATTAAAACTTTATTGAAAGGGTCACAGTATTTCCAGAGTGAGGTGTATATTCAACTAATGAAGTTACAAGACAAAGAAAAACTTAAATGGTGATTAACACTTTACTGTGTAAAATGATTAAACAAGAGACCTTGTGCAACACAGAGAAACCCACACAGAAACCACCATCACTATACTCCACAAGGAGAACCCTTAGCACCTGTGACCTTTATATGTTCAGAGGGTTATCTGAAAAAAATTTTTAGGATTAATGCAAAGGGTAATTAATCCTGTTGTGACCATTTTTTTTTTTAAGGAAGGGTCCCCCACACACAGCCAAAAAAAAAAAAAAGGTGGAAAATAAATGAATCATTGGACTGATTAAAATGCATGAAGCCACTAAAGCTCGTCAGACAGGGGACAACTAAACTCATTCATCAAGCCCAATTCACAATTATATCAACACGATCAGCTAAAGAAAGCCTGGAAAACTTACCCACCCTGGGCCAGGAAACTCTTAAAACTTTGTTCTCAACCAGAAATCATCTACATTTTTAAAAAGTGAAATACATCTTCATTACTTCCTGCAAAATAAAATTAAAGCCATCTCTGGAATATTCTAATCTCCTGGAATTCACTAACACTGAATTTGAACTGGGAATGAAGGAAGCATAAAGGGCTAACACGGGTCTCAAACATTTTGTAAATTTTCAGCTTAGATAGTCAGGTAAAATACTCTTCCTAGTAGTAGCAGTAGAATTCAGAGGCAAGTGATGTGTACATACACACATTTAATAAATGCAGGTAAATAAGACGCAAGTCCTATTTCCGATTTTTAGTAAAGGAGTGATTTCAACTCAGTATTTGAAAATGTGCTTTTCAGCTGGTAAGTTCGTCATGGTGTATTGCAAAGAATGAAATAACTTGGGCATTGTGAGTCCTCCTTTCACCACTGCAGGCATCTTTTCTCAGATGAAGTTGAATGAGTAAAGTAAAAAATCCATTGATGATATTTTAACCTTGATCAGAAATCCAAAGGCAGCCCAAACACACATGCCTCCACCCCACTCCATCCCCAGCTTTGAGACTAGCACCCAGTTTAGCTGAAGTACCCCACAAATAAGGAAGTTTATAACTAGGATACCTTCAGTGGCTCTCTTTGTCATGTTAAATCTTTTCACCTGGCTCAAGTCCAAAGTCAATACTCAGAGCTTTAAAATAAAACTGGAAGAGACAACACCGTGCAGTAAGGTGTCTGTTCTGGATCTCATCCTGAGAAGGGAGTTTAGTTATATTATTTTCTGTTTTGTAAATCTGGGCAGTATTGATTTATTTTAAGTTAGGTTTTTGATTTGGAAACCTATTTCCAAATCTGCTATTCTGTTACTTTTGGTTTTTAACATGCTTCTGTGCTCAACTATGTTTTTAAGTGGCTTTCTCTGTGATTTGGGGAAATGCTTACACAATGGATGAGTTTTGTACACTTTCTTGAGAGAGAAGCTGCTGAAGTTCCCACTGTTCCTATTGCCTGGGTTGGGCGGCGGGGGGGGGGGGGGCTTAAGAAGCCTGAAGACTAGCAAGAGCAGTGCTAGTAAATGATCCTCGGAGCGGCTTAACTATTACAGCAGCAAGTTTAACTCCTTTAAAATAGATGAAAACACTGAGTGTCTTGGAAGCATAAATCTGGCCAGGTGCTCAAGTGGGATGAAGCTGGTAGGTGGGAGGGGGAAAGAATCCAACAGAGTACTTCTAACAGAGGGTTTTACGTTAGTTAATGCAAGGTTTGGGGGTGGGGGCAGCGGTGTTCAGGGATGGTTTATACTTTTGCAAATGGAAACTCCCTCTGTAAAAAGATATCCATTTAAGAAGTGGCAAGGATCGGGATCTGTTCTCCAATTCTTAATATAAATGGCAGTTAATTTTTTTTCTCCTAAAGCCACATATGCACAAAGACACCCAAACAAAAACAAAACAAAAAACAATCCAACCCACCGGCTGTGCAGCCTCAAAGGGGATGCATTTGTTTCGTTTAAACTAACAACAAATTATCTAATTAATATGTTTCAATTACAGCATGAAAGGCGCAGCCCCTGGACCGCCCGCCGTGGGGTCACAATAGCCCCAGAGCCCACTCTAGGAATTTACAATAACTTCACATCTGTTTCTTTATTTCCCACTTTTTGAGTCTAAAACTCCTCTCAAGATCACTTCAAACTACGGGGCTGAGTTATGAAATATGTCCCGGTGTTAAAGGGGGATGAAACTTTGCCCATGGATGCTTCATTTGCAAGCAAAAAAGTGAAAGCCCATTGAAGAGCATTAAACAAATATATTAGAATTCTGTCACTTTATGCAATTGAGTAGATCAAATGAAGGGTCCCGGCCACTTCATTCACTCGAATAGAAAATGCAAAGAATAGCAACCCGAGACTGGGCCACCGATGTAGATTTAGCTCCTTTTTACTGGGAGACAAAAAGGCTGAATTTTCACAAACACATTGCTGACTCGGGGACTAGGAAACCGGCACTGGAACCCCTTTGGAATTTAAATTCATTTTATCTTCCTCTCTCTTTACGGGGATCTGTTTGCACTACAGTGCAAGATGCAGCGGGCATCCTCTGGCTTCTGAAAAAATGGGGGAGGGGAAGAAAGTGAGTGGGGGTGGCTATGTGGGCCTCAGGATTCTCAAGGAGCTCTTGGTGGTCAACTGACACTCAGTTCTGAGATAATAACTTTGATTTAAACAAATCTTTATCTACATCAATATAAATATCATTATATCACACATCTCCTAGCCTCTTACCTCCTTGCTTGGCATGGATTACATAAATGGCTTGTTTCCAAAGATCAGAATCACGTCTGGGTCGTCCAGTTTACTTCTTTCAACTAATATCTGGTCATTGGTGTCACAGCAGACTTGAAAGCTAAGCTTTCAACCTCACCTGCTCAGTACTCTTCTCTTTCTCTCTCTAACATGCACACGTGCACACATACACGCCACTTTCTGATAGCAACCCTATCTGAGCACCATTATGGTAAATTTGTTAAGTAAAAATCAGGAGATGAGACATTCTTTGGTTAGAATTTCCAAGTCAGAATCTTCTTACATTTTCATTTCCCATTTTTGGGGCAGGGGGGAGGGGGGGCAGGGGAAAAAGCCACATGTGTCTGTGGTAATTGAGATAACCTTGTGGCACTACTTCTGTCCTGTGTCTTCAATGGCCAATATTTTTGTTTTGATGAACTTTATAGATTTTTATGTGTCAACATCTTAGAAAGCTTACAGTGCTGTTAGAGCTGCTTCTAGAAACAGAACAGGGAAAAATAAAGCAGCAGACTTCTCCGCTTTTGAGGTGTGATTGCAGAGGAATGAACCAGTTTTCCTTAAACTTGTAGTCTAAATGAGATCTGATCTGAAGGAGGAAGTATATGGAGGGTTTTATTTTGTATTTTTTAAAACGTGCCTGGTACTTTTCCCAGATGCATTCAAACTTTGAATGCTTTTCATTTCAGCTTCAAGATTTGTAAGGTTATATTTGACACTATTCTTCATTTAATTTGTGGGATTGGTGTCTGTTGCAGGGGACAGGAGGTAGCTCAGATCTACAGCTACAAAAAAGATATTGAAGAAATAGTTGGTTGTTTTATAACCGTAAGCTATCAAACTCACCAGAATTAATAACAAGCAATAAACTCATCAGTACAGTAAAATAAGAAAATAATTAGAAAATATCCATGGAAAATTGTAATTGGCTAAATAAAACCTTCCTTAGAAGATTTTCCTTCCAGAAATTTTCAAGAATATACGGACAAAGGGTTCTTTGGAGGCAGCCTCCTTTTGCCTATGTCTGCAAATAACCGATGTCAAATCAGCTGCAAGCTTTTGAAGGAACAAACTCAGAGCATTAATTAGAGCAGATTAAGCTCACAGATAAAAAGCATTCTTTAAGTATCTGTTGTTTGGAGACATTGTGATTCTGATTCATGCTTTGCAGCCTGTATATTTTTATTTACTCAGTTAATTTCTTCCCCAGAGTGTTCCCTGTTGACGGGGTTTACTAAGGTACACAGTGCAGAAAGAATTGTTGGTTTGCAGAAACAAGTGTTTCCAAACTCTGCTTTTGCTATTGATTTCTCTTCCCTCCTTTCTGAAATACAATGCATTGGTCCAACGATTCCACCACATAGCAGCATATAGAGAAACTGTTCAATAAAGGATCTTAATTTTGTGCCACTTAGAGGAAGCTTAGTATTTATTAAGTAGTATCTAGAGTGTTTTACATTAATTA